CAGGACCAAACTCTGGGTTTGCTTAGACGTGCTGACTGAAGTCCAGGGGACACAGGGAGAGTTGGATAAGTGATCACTGTGGTGCCCCTTGCAAAGACACAGAAACCTATCACCCTGGCATTTTAAAGTAATCATAATAAAAGTTGTAAAGACTTGTATGTGCCATAAACTTGACGACATCTTTGCTCTTAGAACTAGTGGAGCAAATCATCTATTTCTCACATCTCCAAAAAAGGCAAAGAAATTACACTCGAAATCAGCACCTCTGTGCTTCCCTTGCGTGCTCATTTCAGATTCAAGTCCGGGTGGAACTCCCCTCTTTTAACTGATTTTTTTTCCCCTTGATTTCTTATTTTTAAAACAATATTGGCTGTTTTTTTCTGATTATAAAAGTAGTATACACTGCTACTTAGATTTTGGAGCACGAAGGAAAGTCTAGAGAAGAGAGTCATAACCATGCATCCTGTCTGCTCAGCCCAGCTCCTCTCAGAGGCGTGGCCCATTCCCATTCTGCCTTCTGTCTGTTACTATGACAATGCCTTCTCTTTTTTTTTTTTTTTTTTACACTTTTTCTAACACCTGCTTTCCCTGATATCCCCTTTACTGGTTTCATTTTCTAATTTCTGTTCTGAATATCCTGTTATCTCATATTGTCTTCTGTATTGGAAAGGGTGTATAAGGATGTGGTCTACATAAAAGGATCTAAAAGTTACATTTTGTGATATCCAGAAAGTAGAAACACATTTTTAAACATACGTGCAAGTACATGGGCTCAGCTGTATTGGTTGTGTATCATGTCACTATCCCTTGCTAATGACTATGGACACCGTTTCACTCTGCACCAGTCTGTTTCTGTAAGGTCAGTACCAGGAAGCAGCAGAGATTGTTCGTTGATATCGTGTTATTTATCCAGGTGTACTGATCACCAACATAGAGTCTACACTTTGAAACAAGGAAGGTTGAATGTGGATCAGTTCTAAGCAGAGAAAGGAGCCCTTCTCCCTTCCCCCAGCACATCACCTAGTCACAGTCACATCTGTTTAGAACCCTGGATGTAATCAACATTACACACATACACACATGCACACCCACAAAGAAGTCTCTGGCTTTAGTTTTGAAGTTTTACCCGATACCAGATTCACTGTGCACAAAGCACTATGATGAACACTGAAGGGTTAAAAGAAAGGGAAAATGTGGTACCTGCGTTTGCAAAGCAGGAGGACCCCTCGACCAGTAGCTTGTCTATTGGGCCATCCTGTTACTAAAACAGAGCTACTTCTTAAACCCTGTTCCAATCCTAAAACTGCCCCTGCTCCCTACAGTCTTGAGGCCACTTCTCTGAGCCTGTGTCTCCTGTGTGTGCCCCAGTAGTTCTGTGATGGTCCCTTGCTGGGCTCCTCTCCCTCTCCCTGAGGGAGGTCTCCCTAAGTCCTAGACATGTCTCTCTGCGCCCTGTCTTCTCTCAGTTGCCCCGTCCATGACTCTTACCAGCATTGTTACTGTGAGTTTTCGATATGTCCCTGTCAGCTCACCCCTTTTGGTCTTCCAGTCCAAAGTGGGACAGCCTTCCCCCAGCTGTGCCACTGGAGCCCTCACCAGAGATGGACGGGCAGAAGAAAAGGGGGTGGTTGGCTCTCCCTGGTACATGGAGGGGATATGATATGGACTGGGGGAAGTCGCCTCTGTGTGGATATGTTTCACTCAGTTTGTCCTGGCTCAGAATTCAAAGCACTGTAGAGTACCCTGGAAGCCCATCCCCAGAGGAGGCGCTGCCTCCGTAGACTCAGAGCTGCTTTCTGTGGGCATGTGGTAATCTAGTGGTTGCAGACCCCTCCGCACCCCTTAGGCTTATCCAGGGCTAGTTGTACGTGGAGCGCATGCATCTATGGTGACATATTAGAATATTTCACATGGGTTTGGTTGGTGACCTGAGGTTATCACCTGCAAACCTAGGAGCAGTATCGGGCACGTATTTAATCATGGACTGCTCCACAGAGGTAGGCAGACCAATCCCAGGGGGCTTTGGGCATTTTTGAGGAGGAGACCCAACACCCAAAACCCAAAGGCCACCATATGATGATATCCAAATGTCACCACCTTTACAGTAAGGAACAGAGGAAGAAGGAACAGCCCACTCACCCCCAGAGCTGCCCGCCATCGCCAGGGAACATGTGCATTCCTTTTTTAAGCTGCACGCCCAGTGCCTCGGTCTGCTCTTGTTCAGTTTCCATGCTGAAAAAAGGACTTAATTCATTTGTAGACTTTGTTTCCCTTGTTTCTGCTTTTCCATTTCTTGTATTTTTTTTCTTTTCCTCCTGTTGTTCCTTTCTCACTTCTTATGCTTTTTGTCCTCTGCTTGTTTTTTATTTCACCTTCTCCCTGTCCCTCTCCGATTCCAAACTCCTCCTCCTCCTCCTTTTGTCTTTCTTCGTCTCCTCCTCCTCCTTCTCCTTGTTTGGTCCTTTTTGAAGTTGAGCCCAGTGGCGGGACTCCACGGCGTAGACCTCTCTCCTTCTGCCCTTGCTGTGTCCAGGAAGGTAACGTAACCCCCCAACCTCATCCCCACTGCCTCTCAGGGGTCGTAGCAACCCTAGTCAAACAGGGACCCAAAACCTAGCTATTTCTCTCTTTTTCTCTGACACTCGATAGCCTTGTTACAAAATTCCATGAGTATGTGGCAGTTTCTTACAAGGTACAGTATCCCTTTGACTATCTCGGGGAGGACTGGGGTACAGAGGGAAACCAGAGAGCCTCCAGGTACAGGCCTTTCAGGCTACAGCTGAGCATCCCATGACATTGTGCCACCATTCATGGTGGGACTTTCCAGACTCAAATCGAGCAGATAGAGGGGACACACGGGTGAGGAACCTCCTACCTGTGTGGCAGAGATTTATATTGGTGGAGTCGAGGAATACTGTCCTTACAAAGACTGGTCTACACAAATGCCCCCAAGTTCTTTTCCAAAAAAAAAAAAAAAACAAAAAACCCACTAAATGCAAACTTCTCTACCCTGTGTCTTGCTGAGTGTGTGTATTTTTTTTTTTAAGTTTGTCTGATTTGAAGTCTGTTGTGGTGATAAGATTGTTGTTGAAAAGGCATGTGGGAAGGGGAAAGGGGAGTGTGGTCATGACTAACCCTTGCTAACCTCTTACCTCTGCTCTTCATGGCGCTCACATTTGACTTTCACCCACCCCGCAATATACCTTTGCTCATTGGCTGTGAACAGTCTCTACCATAGCTCATGAGCAGTGTTCAGATGTATCCCAGTGGAATTTTTGTCCTTGCTCATGGAGAGGCGGGAAGGAGGGAGAGACTTCCCAGTGCATTCCCAGCTTGCTGCACTGGACAGCTTGCATGCCTCAGGGCTCCATCTTCCATGCCACGTGGGCACACTGTGCAGAGATGCTCAGAAAGGAATGCATGGAACTGAGCTGTGGGCTGCTCTAAAAGCCAAAGGACCAAGTCTATTGGGTCGGGTAAGGAGAGCTTTCGTCCCCAGACACTCCAGCCCTCCACAGAGCCAGGCTTGGCTGGTCAGGAGGGAGTTTCTATCTTGCAGAATAGGACTCAGGGATAGGCTTCCACCTTGGGAGCACAGGCGCATGTGCACCCAGGCACCATGCATACACTAACCCCCGCTTGTGTGAGTGCTATTCATTTCTGCCTCTCCAGAGTGTGGCCCCGTTGAAAGACTAACTGGCTTGGGCCTCCTGCGTGTCAAGCAAACAACGCAGCAGAGAGTTGTCTTTGAACAGTGTGCAAGGAAGTCAGGTGGGAAGAATGTAGGAAACAGTGAGTAAGGAGCTTGACAGAGGAGCGTGTTGTCCCACCTGAGGGTATATTCCGTATGTTTCTGGGTCTGGTCTTTACCGGGATAGGACATCCAGCCAAGTGAGTCATAAAATGGAAGGCACTTTGAAAGATCTCCCAGTCCAATGCCTCTTAACCTGGGGCCCACGGGTGAACTTCACCAGGAACACCCTGAAGTTCTATATAAAATTGTTGGATGTGTAGACATGTATTTTTCTAGGAAGAGAGTCCCTAGATTTCCTGAGTTTCTCAGAATGGTTTGGAATCCAAAAATATTGAAGACCACTGACAGAGTCTGTCTTTTGCTTTAGGCAGGACCACACTATTGCCATGAGCTTCTTTGTGCTCCAAGGGAAAAGAGTTTGTTCTCTCCTTGGGTGGTCTGATTCCTCGGAAAGTTCTTCCTTCTGTTCTCCTGCCACAGTTAAGCCCAGCAGGGTCCAGCTTCCCCAGATGGAGATTTAGTTATCAGCCCCAGAATCTGCTGCTGGGGTTAGGTCAGAGCAGAGGGCACTGCCTTATTTAATAGTGTCTAGGGTCTGCTGGTGTTCTCTCTGCCCTTGGTGAGGAGCCTGACAGCCATCCTGGGAGGTACTGCATGTACCAGGCAGGATTCGTTGGGAGAGTGTTTGTCAGGAAGCCTGATAAGGCCACAGTTTGAGAAAAGCCATCTCCCTGACCAGGAGCTGAAGAGATGGGGACGCATCAGTACAGTGGCCCAGACAGGGGCAGCAGCCCAGGAAAGAGCTGGGCCAGTGAGGGTAACGTCAAAGGGGGTAAGTGCAGTTTATAAATTTGCATTTGCCTGGTTCACGAGACTGGTTTTCTTAAAGCAGACCTAGTACCTAGCAAGTACCAAATAGATAGGAAATGAGTGGAGAAAAAGGAGAGCAAAGCACTTCAGACCTACCAAGAGCAATCCATTGAGCAGGAGGGGTCCAAACAGGCTGTGACCAGGTTACCGAGGGGGTGTGGGTTGGGCTTGGGAAGGACAGGTGGAGAGCGCAGACTCTTAGGCTCTGGGGCATGGTGCCCCCTTCCATGGCTGTAGGCAAACTTTGGACCTGGCTTGGGAGTGTTCCGGCAGCATCCTGCTCGGCTCTCTTTGCACATTTGCCCCTGTGTGAGACTCCTGCCGGCCGGGGTAGACAGCAGACTCTTGCTGCCTGACGCACCCTCTCTCTTGGCAGGCATGGGCAAGAAAGATGACCCCAAGCTGATGCAGGAGTGGTTCAAGTTGGTGCAAGAGAAAAATGCCATGGTGCGCTACGAGTCGGAGCTGATGATTTTGTGAGTGGCCTTTGGTTGGGGACCCAGCTAAGGGGGGCCATCAGCTCAGCACCTGTCACAGCAGGAGCACAGCTGCTTCCTAATTTAGGGGAATGAGGAAATATGGCCCCCTGAGTCACCGTGCTTGTCTCCCTCTCTCCTCCCCCCGCCCCCAATCCCAGTGCCCGGGAGCTGGAACTGGAAGACCGGCAGAGCCGACTACAGCAGGAACTTCGGGAGCGGATGGCGGTGGAAGGTAAGGGGGAACAGGGCTGGAGGGCACCCGGGAAAGCTGGGTGTGGGCCTGCTGCCTCCTGGCCCTATAGACCTAATGTCTTCGGCCACTGCCCAGATCACCTGAAAACTGAGGAGGAGTTGTCAGAGGAGAAGAAGATCTTGAACGAGATGCTGGAGGTGGTGGAGCAGAGAGACGCCCTCGTGGCCCTGCTCGAGGAGCAGCGACTCCGGGAAAAAGAAGAAGACAAGGACCTGGAGGCTGTCATGCTATCCAAGGGCTTCAGCCTGAACTGGTCCTGAGCTCTACCTGTGCTCCGGCTGGCTGGTCTGTGGCATCCACCTGACCCAGGCTGGGTTCTCCCAAACCACCCGGATGAAAGATCTCAGAAGGCCCGGCACCTCCTGGGAGTTGACACGCAAATGTCTATGTGCCTCTTGAAAAGTGGGTCAAGTGTCTGTGCTCTGGGAAACCCCAGGTGAAGATGATTATCTGAGGTGGCTCAGCCTCCTTGGAAGAGGCCCACCCTGACTTCCTGCTCCAGAGAGAGAGGAATACGGAGCATTTGACATGTGATATGGGAAAAAAGAAAACCCGCTCGCTCCCCAGGGACACGCGGTGGCTGGAGCTCCTCCTTTCACAAGAGGAGACAAGAGAAGGAAGCTGCCCCCTCTCCGTCCAAACCACAACCACCAGAGTGCACCTTCACGGAGCGGAAGGGGCAGCGATCTTCTTCATGCTTCCTGAAGCACCACCAAAGAAACTAAGAAGACACCCCGGGGGGGCAAGATGTGACTCAAGCCCCAGGAGAGGGGTAGTGGCCAGCAGGTCAGTGCCTGCCCCAGTATCGCAGGGAAGCTGGAGATGGGCTGGCTCCCGAATTCACGATGCAAGTAAGGAGGACCCAGGAGGGGTCTACTCCCTGGCCCCCTGCACCGCACACTGGACCCCTCGTGGCCAAATGACCCAGGCCTCCCTCTGGCTGTGACCCAAGGCCTGAGGGTTGCTGCATTTTGCTTTGAATTCACAACAATTTTGACACTGGAAAATACTGACTTTGGGGGACAGGATGAGGCCCTACATTTCTAGCCCCCAGTTGACAGACAGGCGTTGTTACTGTTCAGCGCTTCACGTCGGGGTGGGAGATTATCTTTTTCCCTGACCTTTTTCCTGTGTTTGCACATTGAGATGAAGCTGTCAGCCTAGCAAGACGCTCAGCCGCTTCAGACCCTTTTTGTCAATTAACTTATTTTTTTAATACTTGAAAAGAAGTAACTTCATTTTTATATCTTTACTAGAGACACTGATCACTTGGCACCCGGTGTAGAAGTGACAGGGGTGTCTGCCATGTCCTCCTACACGGTCCCATCCCAAACTGACTGAACGCTGTTCCAGCCATCTATTTATTAGCCTTCTTCAGAGTGTTGCTGACCCAGTTGGCATCAGGGAGCAGCTGAGAACCCCGCGTGGGTTCTTGGTTCTAGCTCTCCTGTCCCCTCCTGTACTTGGTGGCCGGCCCCTCTTCCTTCACCCGGCCCGCCCTCACTGTGGTACCAAACTTTGTGTCTGCACCATTCATTTGTCAGGGGTACATTTCAACACTGTTTGAGGCCAGGCCAAAGGGCACAGATGCCACTCGCCTCTCCTTGTTGAACCCTGGCTCTGCAGAACCCATTTATTTTCTCCATGTTGGTGCCAGGGTTTCACCTCCCCACAGCACATTTATTATTAAAGGTAAGCCCTTTTCCATCCTGGCATTGTAGGCTGGGACCTTGTCATCCCTCTGGCTGATGAGAATTCCCTAAGCCCAGCCTCAGATCCAACCCGATAGAGATGCAAGTATTGGAATTTAGGTTGGTCTCTCACAGTTAACTCTACCCCGAACCTCCTCTGCAACCCCATTTTCATGGGAAGGCACGGGATAATGAGCACCATGTAACTGGCTCCTTGAGCCAAACTGCTCATTTCTCACAGTTCAACCAGAGACTGGCATTGTACAGCTCATAGAGCCACAGTCGGGGAAAATGTGGTGGGGCATCCACAGAACTGACACATGGTCAGCCCAGGGAGGATTCCTGTCCGAGCCAGGCCGATCCGGAAGGGCCCTCCGGCAGACTGGTGAAGAGGGGCCAGGGTAGGGTGAGCAGAGGCCTGGCAGCTCCTCAGAGTAGCCTAAATCAGGTGTCCGTGCCGACCTTGGGACTTCCGTGGGGAGCCCCGCCATGCCTCAGCTTGAAGCTTCATTCCTAGTACAAAGGAACAGGGAACGTGTCTTGCTCTTCACTTTGTCCAGAAGCTGCCGTCTGTCTCCTGTGGAAGCGCAGAAGGTGTGCTGCAAGCAACCGTCGCAGCTCTGACTCCTTTACTTCCTGTTCTTGGATGAGGCGGAGTGTCCGTGTTTATGCGCTTTCTTAAAAAGGCGAGAGGAGGGTGTTCTGGATTCCCTCTTTAAACCTCACCCTTCCAGTAAAGTTGGACTTGAGACAGGCCCCTCATCGCCTGTGTGGCCTTGTCCCTGACCCTCTTCGCCCCTCGAATGCTGCTGTAGCCAGCCCAGCCCCAGGAGAGCCGCCTCCATCCCTCGTGGCTCCTGTGAACCCCAGAGCAAGGCAGCTCTGTGCCAAGTGGCGGGCTCGGAACACGACCGCAGCGACACGCTGTGAGTAGCCTCATGTAGCGCGGGCGCCACACGGGACCTGTGCCCTCGTGGCCGGCCGGGCCCGGTCAGCCTTTAACACCCCTGCGTCCTTCTGAAGCACACCCTGCGGCCTACGGTTGCTAGAAAGGGGACTGAAGACTTTGCAGAGAAGCTTCCAAAATCCACAAGGCTCCAACACATGCCCCGGTTCTCCACGCCCAACACTGTTAGGACTTCCGGCTCTAGTAGTGCCCCTTTACTTTTAAAGCTCCCGTTTTATAACCACTAGTTTGCAGTTTGTTTTAGTACCCTGGTGACAGGCTGCATGAAATGTTTTCCAACTCTGGAAATGCATACAGCTCCAGGCAACTGTTCTTCCCGAGATTTAAGTCCCCTTGAAGGCAGGGGACACAGGAAATGAAATGCCAGAGCTTGAGTGAGCCCAAACACAAGGCCCACACAGTAGGCAACCAGTTCTGCATCACCAGAGGGAGGCAGCAGACACCTCCACTCCTGAGTCTGAGGGACTCCGTGTGGGGTTCTCACCCTGCTCGGGTGATATCTTTGGGCCTTTGCCCCCAGAAACCATCCTCCAGTTGCTTTTGACCAGCAATGATAGACTGTTTTTTATCCTCTGAAAAGAGAAGAAAGTTTTCAGTGGGGCAGGAGGTAGAGTTCAAAGAAAAACAGTTGTAAGGTGGTAATAACTGAGCTGCAAAGGGGAATGGGCCACTTTATGCGCAATAAAAGTTTTTCACAGAAATACAGAGTGTATTTCTTAAGTCATTTTACTAAACTTGGCAGTGAGCCAGGATGCATTTCCACGTTCCAGCACCTGCCCTTTTCAGGTACGTGGTGTCCATGCAAGTCATTTAGATGCCTGGCGCATGTGTGGGTGTGTGTCCAGGCTTGTTTAAAGAACACAACTTCATCTTACCCAGGCTCAGCCATCAACTGCTATCATTTGAGAAAATGCCTGAAACAACTTAGTGTGATAGACGCTGTTCTTCAAAACCAGGCCCCAGTACCGTCTTGAAGAGAAGAAGCACGTTCTGTGAAGTGAGATTCTTCAAGTTGGAGTGGTCCCGTGCTCCTGGCAGCCTTCCTTGCCAGCCCTGCGTCCGTGCCAGCTCGGCCTCTGTCCTTTGACACAGCTGAGCAGGGAGCCCAGTGGCTGGGGTCTACAGCCTCCAGGCCTAAATCGTTCAGATGTGTCAGGGTCCACAAGTACGTTCAGCATAGGGTCTTGGAGAGATGATATCACCCTTCTTTGGACTGGAATCATCCCCAGGAGATCGAAGGGAACAATCCTGGCCAACTCTTCTCTCTGCTACAGGAAGCCTCTTGGGTTTGTCTCCAAATGGAGATACATTCCAGATCTTTTCCCCTCCCTTGGTGTGATGACTTTGTCATCACCCACAGAGCTAACCCCAAAGGCACATGTCTCCCTCCAGCCCAGTAACGGCTGCAGGGAGAGAAAAAATGGCACTAGATGGGTGGAGGGGAGTGTTGGCCAGCCTAGAGGTCTCTGCCATGGGAGCTGGTTCCCAGAACCTCTCAGCCTTATTGCCCGCTATCCCAGAAAGAAGAAAGGGGCCTCTCTGACACCGACATGGACATCTCAGGCAGAAAAAATATAACTAGCTCGAGTGAACTTTCTGTGGCCATGGTGCATGCCTGTTGGGGAAGACTGAAGTTTGGTAGTCGCCACCTGTGCCGATCTCAGTCACCTTTTGTTCCTCAGAGGGGCTGGCTTTGATTACAGCCGGAAGCAGGCAGGATTTGGCCGCAGTTCGCAGCAGCCCCAGGTGGCCAGAAATGACTGCTGCTTTTAGGCTGGTAACCAGAAAGGAAGACTGCCCAGGACCCCACGTAAGTGCCACCTCAGAAGCACATACCCTCATTCCTTCCAAGAAACTACCATGTCTTATGGCTCTGAAATCCCTCCTGAACCCTGAGTCTTCCTGGTCCCTTCTTAGGAATCAGAGTGAAAAATGGCAAACGGAGAGAATGTGCCATTTTATTTTATGAGCTGGCCAGACTGGCCCACTTATGGAGACTCTCCTTCCTCTTGTGTTACCTGCTCGGAAGATGCCCTCCCAGCAACGCTCAGTGAAGAGGGTAAGAAGTCATCCTGTTAGGTGGGTTATGCCCCACTAAGACATCAGCCCAGGGGCCAGAGCTGCACCTCGTACACTAAACCAAGGAGCCTGTTAGGCTAGGTGCCCAGGGTCACAAAGCCCTTTCACGGACACTCCCTGATGGACCACCTGTCACTGCTGAACTTCACTGCGTAGCATTTTGTGACAGCCCCACTCCTTGTGTCCCCTTGAGGTCTTCCTGCAGGTGGGGCTTAAACAGGGAAGCCAGAGTCCTGGCTTCTGTGGGTAGGCCATGTGTGCTGGCTGCCTCTGCCTGAGAAGCCAGCTGATACCAAGACAAATATGGAAGAGGGGACAGCGTCCATGATGCATGCACACTCACGCACATGTGTGCATACACATAATCACCTTCCTTTTCATGGTCAGCATGACCTTTTTCCAGAGTGGACATCTAGCTGTAAAGTAAGCTGAATTGAAGCCTTTGGACCCAGGAGGGACCAGCTGTGGTGGTGGTCCAGGATCCCGGGCTAAGGCAGGATCCAAGTTGAGGATCTTGTAACAATAAACAGCCTGGTGCATGGAAGACCACAATTGTATGGAACAGTCTCCAAAGTAGGCAGATGGAGCAGTCCCCCAGATCCAGGGGAAGGGTCTTTGGAGTGCAGGTGTGGGGCTGCCTCACACAACCTGTGAAATGAGAAGGAGGTTGCTGGGGTCTGTGGCCATACGTGAGAGAGCGGCAAGGAAAGGGAGTTAGCATTCAGACATGAGACTCACTCCTGCCTCTTCCCTGACTTCAGAGGAAGCTGAGGCTTAACACATAATTGGTTGGTGCCTCCCTCCCTGTTAACCAACCCACAGGATCCATGGGAGGGCAAAACATTGAAGGGTTTGAGATTCTTAAATCGGGGCCTTTGTAGATGGACAGACATCTTTCATGATGGTAACTAATGTTGCCCTTGAAGAAACCAGAGGAGGACTGAAGGCGGTCCCAGCATCTCTAGGGGCTGGCTCCTTACTACCCAAGTTCATCTCCGATCTATCTGGTGAGCCAATGGAGTTGTGCATTTATTTTTAATTACTTAAAATGCTGGGCTGAAT